TATTGCATTCAATGACATACTGACTGCATGCAAACCTGACAATCATTATTACTATAACATCTATTGTTTTTATCATTATTTCTATCATAATAGGCATAGATTTGATTCCTTCAGTTTGTGTTACTACTTCTCTAACTCCAGTCTCTCCAGTACTTGAAGGCTCTACAGTAACAATAACTTGTTACATACAATACGACATATCAGTTGATATTAATGTTAGCATCTTGAGGAATACAAACGAGGTACTTACCAATTCTTCATTGCAAGGATACAATCATTCATATGTCATTAAAAGTGTGAAAGAGAAAGATGAAGGAAACTACACATGCAAAGTGACAGTGATTGCTACCACACTCAGTGACAGCATTGATTTACAAGTCATTCCTGCACAGATCTCAAGCAGTAGCAGTAGCAGATCACACTCAACCTCTCTATCCCTTTCCCTGGCTCCTTCTTTATCCCTTTCCCTGGCTCCTTCACCCTCTCCTTTTATGAGCAGTGACAATATACCAGTCCCTAGTCCCTACACCTACAGGCAATGAGGTTACTACTGCAGTGCCTAGTGATGGTCCATCTTCTACAGTTATTGTCGTTGCTTCAATTTCAAGTGGTCTGGCTCTACTGATATTGTTGGTTATAACATTTTTATTTGGTTTCTTTGTGGGGAAAAGATGCAACAAAAATACGACTGAAGAAAGAATAGGAACTTCACCAGACAAACTAGATAATATTGAGTTGAATTAAATAACTAGCAAAATTAAATTTAAAATTTATGCAGTTTGCATGGTTTTATTTCAACAATTATATATAGGTGTCAAAATTATCCAGTCAATACAATAATATGAGCATTATAAGACAATGCAGTAACTTCACCTAAATCAATTACCTACATAAACATTAATGCCATAGGTTTTTGTTCTATGAATCCTATAGTGTGCAAAAAATGGCAACTAATGGGTTGTATAAAGATTCAGTGACATTTGCAAGTCCATCTTTTCAGCAATATCTTTGAATGCTTCCTTTTCCTTCAGTACTTCCATTAAAGTTGACATTGCCTGAGTTTGTGTAGCAACTGTTGATTTAAGAGCAAACAGTAGTGAAGCACACCTGTCTTGAACTGGTCTGCCAGTATTCATACACTCGGTAGAAATTGCATCAGTAATCAGTTCTTTAGCATACAAGCTCATGATGACAGCTGAAAGGTTACTTGGAGCTGCCAGAATTTCTGAAAGTGTGTCAAAATTATCACGTAATACTTTTCCTGCTAGTTTAAGTTTCCTCTCTTCTATAATTACCAAAATTAAAATAGTTCTATAAATTATACAAAAACAATACCTGTTGGGGAACTTGGCCCTGCTGGAGGTGATGCAATAGTGCCTGTAGGTTTTTGTTGAAAGTCACCTAAATATAATTTACATAAACTATAAATTCATGATAATAATACTAACCCATTGTTAATACAATATTTATTTCCTTAATGTCAGATTTTATTCCTTGCGTTGTGATGGGATAATTTAATTCCTTATCTGCGTCTTTACCAGGAGTGGCTGTGATTGTGAATACACATTTTGGAAATCGAGGAGGAAACATGCTGCCATAGTCATCAATAACATTCTGGCTTACCTATTGTAAATCATAATTACATGTCATTATTAATTTAAGTCCTAACTTTTGAAGGCTTCTGATAAGGTCTCACTGACCATCCTTTAGAACATTTTTTATCATTAAAGCACAACTCGATGTATCCATCATAATCTTTAAATTGAAAATATATCTCCATATATTCTTTGGAACTCTTGAATTCTTTTTTAATATGCTATATACATTAATTGAAAATTAACTGCATTCTGCAGAACATTCATACCTCTATTAGTGCTTTTAGATCTTGACAAAGTAGAAATCTCATCAACCATTCTCTTCCAGCTATTATAACCTCATAAATTACTTGACCAGAGTAAAGCTTAACAGGTAATTCATCTACAATTTATACAAGAATGCTACCAAGTACAGCGTACATTTTTACCTTCAACTAGTATGTGTGTCATTAACTGATTCTGTTCTGATGTATCAATTGTTCTGTTTGGAGATAAAGGAATCACAGGCAGTTCTTCAATATCAAGAAGCATAGATGATTCTTCAAGATTAGTGGAAGACTGTGATGATGATGAAACTGAGAGAGATTTGTGTTCTTTTTTATGTGATGATTTTTCTATGCGATATGGATGCACACGTGTTCTTCTCCTGCGTTCCATGACAATAGACCACTTAGAAAAATTAGCAGTGTTTATGCTACCATATCTGTTACCAACAGAAAATTCTCCACCATCTACTGTATTAAAATTATAAGGTGGCAGATTATTAGTTGTGGTAAAAAAACTAAGGTAATTGCCATGAGCTGGTATTTTTATAGAGACACAATGCTGTATCTCAAGTTTAACTGGTTCAAGGAAAGGCTTGGAGAGGCTTATAGCATATACTGCACTAACAAGCTCAGTATCTTCAGGAAATATAAAGTCTCCCCCTACAAGAGTAGTGATGGTGACCTGTACAGTATCAGAGGGTAGCACTGCTCCTTGTGGTATTGTTATCCTTATACCATATTCCTCCCATTTAACTGATGGGTCAGATCCACCATGAATAAGAAATGACTTTTTATCAGCAACGTGTACACCTTTAAGTTTATCTATATGAAAGTAATAAGGGCACAATAATTAAACATAATTACATTGATACCTTCAGTTTTAGTTACACTTTCAGCAGCTTTTGTATCAAGTTGCTCCTTCTGTTTTGATGGCACAATGGGTACTTGCTCCTTATACTCATCAAACATCGCTGTAAAAAGTAAATAAAATATATGTCAGTATTATAAATTTTAATTATGTAACTATACTTTGTGAGGAATGAAGCAATTTGATCCCCTGAACTTTTTCTTCAGCCTTTTCCTTTTGAACTTGAATCATACTATCATTTTCTTGTAACTGATGCTTATGTTGTTGAATTTGTTGCAATAGTTGCTGGATTTTTTTATCTTTTTCTTCTTGCTCCTTCAGTAACAGCTGATTAAGCCTTTGTGCCTCTTTTTCTTTATCTTCTAGCTCCTTCTTTAGCTTTTGTAACTCGTGATCAAAATTTTGTATTCTTTGCTTCATTTTTGCCTCATTCTCTTGCAACTGAAGATGATGATACTGTTGCTTCTCTGAAAGTTCCTTGTCCTTCTGTCGTAACTGTTGAATATATTTCTTTTCATTTTCTTTTAGCTGATGGCGATATTGCTCCGTCTCTGCTTCTTTTTTTCTTAAATGTTGATGGCATCTTTGAATTTCTGTTTCTTTTTCTGACAACTGTTGAGAATGCTTTTGCTTTGTCTCTGTCTTCTCTCTCTCACTTTCTTGTATTTCTTTCTCCTTCTTTAAGTTCTCTTGTTCTTTTTCTTCCAATTGTTCATGGCATTTTTGTATTTCTTGCTTTGAAAGTGCATCAGTTTTCTCCTTCTCTTGTAACTGATATTGGCATTTTTGTATTTTTTTATCTTTTTCTGCTTTTTCTCTTTCCTTCTCCAACAACTGATCACAGTACTCTTGTAATTGATTAATGTAATTTTGTATTTCCTTCTCCTTTTCTTGTAGCTGTTGAAGATATTTTTGTATTTTTTGGTCTGCTTTGGCTTTTTCTCTCTCTTGCTCCTCCAACTGAAAATGACATCTTTGGATTTCAGCCTCCTTCCCTTTTAACTGATCAAAATGATGGTAATATTCTTGCATCTCTTGCTCCTTTTCTTGTAGCCGATGATGGTAATTTTGTATTTCTAGATCTTTTGCTGCCTTCTCTCTCTCCAGCTTCTCCTGTAACTGAAAGCAGATTCTTTGTATTTCTAGCTCCTTCTCTGCCTTAATTTCTTGCAATTGATGATATTTTTGCTCTTTCTCTTGTAATTGTAAATAATGTTCTGTCTCCTTTTTTTCTATTTTTATTGACAAATGACGGCTATGATCTTGTTCATTCCTTAATTGTTGTTTAATAGCTTGTGTCTCTAGTTCCTGCTGTTTTAGTAATTTTTTACATTCTGCAAGCTTGTGCCCTTCCCATTTTTGTGCTGTGCTGCTGGGTAATACTTGTACTTCCTCTTTTTGCTTCTGATACTCAAGCCAATGCAATCTTCCTTGTTGGAGTTGCTGAAAATATGTATTTTGGTACTGCCAATTATTTGATAGATCTACTGGTATATTTTTTACCATAATTTTTTCTTTGTCAAACACTATATTAATATAAAATTGGGAATAATATACTCATTGTGAATTGCAAGCCACATGCACCACATATACCAGTACATACCTAGGCTTTTTGTTACTGTTATGAATGGATACAGAACCAGTTCATCAGTTACTGCAGTAACTTTTTTTCTGGAAACAAATGCTCCTCCAACAATTATGATCCAGAAACAACGAGGACTCAATGTAAACACTGAGAGGGAATGAGCCCATCTCTGACTAAATGAGTGATCTATACCTCCTATCTGTTAATAGAAATAATCATTAGAAGAATTAATAACATCGGCTGCATGAATCACAACTTCATTCAATGAATAGTTAAAATGTAAAAACCCATACTTTTTGCCAGGTGCGTTGAGCAGTATCAAAGATCCAGCAGTCATCTAATGTATCATCATCATTATTCATCCCACCACATATCACCAGCAGAGGGCACTCAAATTTGGTTACAATAATAGCACCTGCATGATTGTATCTACCCACAGGCCATTGATCAATTGCTTCAGGTTTTTTTATACACTGCCAAAACTAAGAAATAAAAAATTAGCAATTAAGAATAAGTTTATTTTAACATACCACAGTGCTGAGTGATATGTCTATATTTAATAAATACATATCATTGCTAGCAATAGCCTCAGTTTTATCATCTTGTACAATTCCACCAAAAAGAACAGCTCTTTTGTTGCTGATTTTTTCAAGAACAAAACCATCAGCAGGTGGTATATTACACTGACCAATGACAAATACATTGTCCCATTTTTCTAAATAAAAATAAAAGATAAGGGTTAGTACCAGTACAATCGGCTAGGCCCTTAATGAAACTATTGGTTGGAAGGCAGGGCCGCTGAGAGCTTTGGAGGGGCCTGGGGAAGGAAATTGAATTGTGCAAAGTGCGGCAAAAAATTTTGCAGTTTTAATCATATTCCTAGTGGGTGTGGTCAAAATTAATTAATTTTTACCTGCACGCATGATAACATGCACTTTGTCTATTGAATTTTAACTAGCTAGGAAGATTGATTTTGATGATATCATCACTTTTTTGCTTGGCAAAAGGCCAGAAGGGCCCATCTTCTGTAATAATTTTGTTTAATTAAGTTCTTAAAAAATTTCTTGGGGCCCTTAAAATTGTGGGGCCCAGGGCATTTGCCCCTTTTGCCCCCCACTCTCAGTGGCCCTGTTGGAAGGTTTAGCATTATAATATTTGTACACAGTATCATTACCTGATGATAAATTATACATTGAGTGTTCATTAGTACGCCATCTTCCACCATGTAGTTCAGACTGGATGTATTTATTATGCAGCACTTGTACAGCTGGTTTAGATCCTATTCCTCCTATCATTAGCAAGTAATGTACTCCATCATGTTCAAACAATAACATCCCACCACAGCTTCTCCTCATAACTGGTCTAGTTGCGTCGGTTGGTTCTAATTCTCTCCATTGAAGACTAGCGGTATCCAGTTGTGTAATACTGTTGTGAAAGCAGTTGTCATGATTGCAATAGCCACCAAAATAATACAAATAGTCATTTATTGCAGTACACGAGTAACCAGTGACTCCTAATGGAGGAGTACCAGTAGTTTGTCTAGTAAACCATTGACCAGTTGAGGCAGTAAAGTGATGTATAGTATTAGTAAATTTTCTCTTCTCTGGACTGTCATGTACTTTAGGCAAACCAGCTTGATCACCAGCCCACACAAATAGTTCAGAATCACCTACTGTTGCAGCACTATGGAAAAATCTTGCTTTCAATCCAGGGTAATCTATTAATGATTGCACACATTGGTTAACAAAATTATTGCTTAAAGCTTTTGCTACCTTTTGAATGCTGTTTCGCCATTGTTTAGAGAGCAATCACGCACATTCCTTTCTTAGGCGTTGCCCCATTTGTGACCAATTAAAATTGACCAAAAACTCTATGCATATTCTAATCAGTTTCATAGCCCAGCTATTAATAGAACTATATGTATAACCCTTTAAAAGGAAATTTGCTATACTTCATAAAGGCTATTTCTGGCAGTAAAATGAACTCAGTGATTTGATCTAGATCTACATCTATGCATGCATTAGTACATACTCTATATAGACTCTAAATCAGAGATTGCACGATATCAGCTATCAAATATGCAATTACTGTAATAGATCTAAAAGTTAAGTAGACTATTGTATTTCTGTGGTTTGTTTATAGATACAACCTGCTTGAACAGTAAGACGAATATTTACTGGCAATAAGAAGAATCATGAAGGATTGCTCTCTCCTTCTTTTAACTGTATTAGTTCTCCAAGGGGCAAGAGGTGTACTGATGGAGGCCTGTAATGGTGTAACAAATATAAATGAATTAGGTAAGTTTATGATCCTAATTGAGTTGCTCTTTGCATGAACTTTATTATTACTAATAACATAAAGTTAGACTCCCCGAATTAGAATGCTTAAAAGATTTTCTGCAGAAACTAATACATTGTTTTGTTTCATTTACAGTTAGTCAATACAGTCTTAAAGTGAGTACCAGTTTCTCTAGTGATGGAAGTTCCTTATCACTCAACTGTACTATCAATAATGGAACAGCTAACTTACAGCCTGGACAAGAGTTAGTATGGACTGAAGGAGGAATAGAGATACAAGATGGGACTATAGGATATTCAGTACATCAGACGAATACCAGCTCTCTCTTGACAATAAGTATAACTCATGGACTACAGTATGGTGAATATGGTTGCCAGTGTCACAATAGGCATAGCTATACACATAATTCCCTCAGTAAGCTGATAGTCACTGGTTCATTCATCCAACACTGCAGTGACAAAACTACCACAACAGCAGCACCACAATCAGGTCAGTGAGATGTCATCACTGTAATATTAATTTGTTATCATTGTAAATGTTCTGTAGCTCCAGCTCCAATCATTACCACACATAACGTATCCAGTCCTGGTCAAACTGTTAGTATCACATGTAACCAGTCTATGGCAGTACTGGTTAAAGAACACAGTAATGGCTCATTGGTAGAGACCATTAACAACATTACTGTCTCATCTCCTAATGATCAAGAGAAGTTTGGATGTATTCTGAATGATACAATACTAGAGATACACTATGTCACTATTAAAGGTATATACATTTTAATGTACATTGTCGATAGATAAAGAGAGAAGATTCAATTTTTTTTTCATCAATAGGTTATGAGCCAATTCCTCTTTTATTTCCACCTTCTCCTGGAACAATTCTTCTCCCTTTTTCAACTGACTCTAATTTCACACAGCCTGTGCAGTCTATTCTCCTCTTCCACTACAATCATTTCAAATAACTTTTAGAACTGGGAATTTTATTGTGGGTGGCCTTCAAAACACATATACCTCCAGTAGCCCCATTGAAGATTTGTATAGACTGAGCATGGTACCTAATGCAGGGAATGACCGGGTTGTTGATTCCTTAGATTTTTATTGCACTGCCAGTACTTTATGGGATACTGTTGGAATAGAAAGATACAGGGTTGACTTTGATACTCAAGGTTAGTAGCTATACACATCATTTTCTTATTGACATACTAACCGCAAATCTGACAATCATTATTATTACTATAACATCTATTGCTTTTATCATTATTTCTATCATACTAGGCATAGATTTGATTCCTTCAGTTTGTGTTACTACATCTCTAACTCCAGCCTCTCCAGCACCTGAAGGCTCTACAGTAACAATAACTTGTCACATACAATATGATATATCAGTTGATATTAATGTTAGTATATTGAGGAATACAAACGAGGTACTTACCAATTTTTCATTGCAAGGATACAATCATTCATACGTCATTAAAAGTGTGAAAGAAAAAGATGAAGGAAACTACACATGCATGGTGACAGGGATTGCTACCACTCTCAGTGACAGCATTGATTTACAAGTCATTCCTGCACAGATCTCAAGCAGTAGCAGCAGGTCACACTCAACCTCTCTATCCCTTTCCCTGGCTCCTTCTTTATCCCTTTCTCTAGCTCCTTCACCCTCTCCTTTTATGAGCAGTGACAATATACCAGTCCCTACACCTACAGGCAATGAGGTTACTACTGCAGTGCCTAGTGACGGTCCATCTTCTACAGTTATTGTCGTTGCTTCAATTTCAAGTGGTCTGGCTCTACTGATATTGTTGGTTATAACATTTTTATTTGGTTTCTTTGTGGGGAAAAGATGCAACAAAAATACAACTGAAGAAAGAAGAGGAAGATCACCAGATAACCTGGACAATATTGAGTTGACTTAAATAACTAACAAAATAAAATAAACAAGTTTGCACAATTTGTTTAAACAATTATAGGTGTCACAATGGTTTTGAGACTAATCTTGTTATTTTCCAGTCAATACAACATGAGCATTAAAATACGATACTGACAATTGCCTACATAAACTTTAATGTGATAGGTTTTTGTTTTCTGAGTCCTAATACTGAAAAAAATCTGCTAAAAAATTGGCAACTAATGGGTTGTATAAATATTCAGTGACATTTGCAAGTCCATATTTTCAGCAATGTCTTTGAAAGCTTCTTCTTCTTTTAATACTCCAATTAAAGTTAACATTGACTGAGGTTGTGTAGTAACTGTAGATTGAAGAGCAAACAGTAATGAAGCACACCTGTCTTGAACTGGTCTGCCAGTATTCATGCATTCTGTAGAAGTTGCACCAGTAATCAATTTTTTAGCATACAAGTTCATGATGACAGTTGAAAGGTTACTTGGAGCTGCCAGAATCTTAGAAAGTGTTTTAAAATTATCTCGTAACACTTCTCCTGCTAATTGAAGTTGCCTTTCCTCTATGATAACCATAATTACATATTAGTATATTATATACACTATACCTGGAGAAATTGAACCTGATGGTGATGCAATAGTTTCTACAGGCTTTTGTTGAAAATCACCTAAATATAATTAACATAAACTAACTCATAATAATAATAATGATACTAACCCATTGTTAATACAATATTTATTTCCTCGGTGTCAGATTTTATTCCTTGGATTGGGATAGGATAACTTAATTCCTTAACTGCTTCTTCACCAGGTGTAGCTGTGATTGTGAATACACATTTTGGAAATCGAGGAGGAGACATGCTGCCATATTCATCAATAACATTCTGGCTTACCTATTGTAAATCATAATTACATGTCACTATTATTATTATTAGTTTTAATCCTAACTTTTGAAGGTTTCTGACGGGGTCTCACTGACCATCCTTTAGGACATTCTTTATCATTAAAGCACAACTCAATGCATCCATCATAATCTTCAAACTGAAAAGATATCTCCATATATTCTTCAGAACTCTTGAATTCTTTTTTAATATGCTGTGTTAATTAAAAATTAACTGTTTACTGCAGAACATTTTTACCTCTATTAGTGCATTTAGATCTTGACAAAGCAGAAATCTCATCAACCATTCTCTTCCTGTTATTCTAACCTCATACATTACTTGACCAAAGTAAAGCTTAACAGGTGATTCATCTACAATTTATACAATAATACTACCAAGTACTTACTACCATGAGTGGATAATTATTTATAATTATTTAAATAATTATCCACTCTTGTTACTACGTATACATTTTTACCTTCTAATATCTCCACTGGTATGTGTATCATTAACTGATTTTGTTCTGATGCATCAATTGTTCTCTTTAACGGAATCACTGGTGGTTCTTCAATATTAGGGAGCTTAGGCGATTCTTCAATACTAGTTGAAGACTGTGATGATGATGAAACTGAGAGAGATTCGTGTTCTTTTTTATGTGATGATTTTTCTATGCGATATGGATGCACACGTGTTCTTCTCCTGCATTTCATGACAACAGACCACTTAGAAAACTTAGCAATGCTTATGCTACCATATCTGTTGCCAATTGAAAATTCTCCACCATCTACTGTATTGAACTTGTAAGGTGGCTGATTATTAGTTGTGGTAGAAAAACTAAGGTAATTGCCATGAGCTGGTGTTTTTATGGAAACACAATGCTGTATCTCAAGTTTAACTGGTTCAAGGAAAGGTTTGGAGAGGTTTATAGCATATACTGCACTAACAAGCTCAGTGTCTTCAGGAAATATAAAATCTCCTCCTACAAGAGCAGTGATAGTAACCTGTACAGTATCAGAGGGCAGCACTGCTCCTTGTGGTATTGTTATCCTTATACCATATTCCTCCCAATTAACTGACTGGTCAGGTCCACCGTGAATAAGAAATGACTTTTTATCAGCAACGTGTACACCTTTAAGTTCATCTATATGAAAATAATAAGGGCACAATAATTAAAGATTATACATGCATAATTACATTAATTGATACCTTCAGTTTTAGTTACACTTTCAGCAGCTTTTGTATCAAGTTGCTCCTTCTGTTTTGATGGCACAATGGGTACTTGCTCCTTATGCTCATCAAACATCGCTGTAAAAGTAAATAAAATATATGTCAGTATTAAAAATTTTAATTATGTAACTATACTTTGTGAGGAATGAAGCAATTTGATCCCCTGAACTTTTTCTTCAGCCTTTTCCTTTTGAACTTGAATCATACTATCATTTTCTTGTAACTGATGCTTATACTGTTGTATTTGCTGCAATAGTAGCTGGATCTTTTTATCTTTTTCTCTTTGCTCCTTCAGTAACAGCTGACTAAGCCTTTGTGTCTCTTTTTCTTTATCTTCTAGCTCCTTCTTTAGCTTTTGTAACTCATGATCAAAATTTTGTATTTTTTGCTTCATTTTTGCCTCATTCTCTTGCAACTGAAGATGATGATACTTTTGCTTCTCTGAAAGTTCCTTGTCTTTCTGTCGTAACTGTTGAATATATTTATTTTCATTTTCTTTTAGCTGATGGCGATATTGCTCCTTCTCTGCTTCCTTTTTTCTTAAATGTTGATGGCATTTTTGAATTTCTGTTTCTTTTTCTGACATTTGTAGAGAATGCCTTCGCTTTGTCTCTGTCTTCTCTCTCTCACTTTCTTGTATTTCTTTCTCCTTCTTTAAGTTTTCTTGCTCTTTTTCTTGCAATTGTTGATGGCATTTTTGAATTTCTGTTTCTTTTTCTGACAATTGTAGAGAATGCCTTCGCTTTGTCTCTGTTTGATCTCTCTCATTTTCTTGTATTTTTTGATAATATATTTGCTTTTCTTTATCCTTTTTTAAGTTCTCTTGCTCTTTTTCTTGCAATCGTTGATGGTATTTTTGTATTTCTTGCTTTGAAAATGCATCAGTTTTCTCCTTCTCTTGTAACTGATATTGGTATTTTTGTATTTCTTGATCTTTTTCTGCTTTTTCTCTCTCTTTCTCTGACAACTGACGACAGTATTCTTGCAGTTGATTAAAGTAAATTTGTATTTCGTCCTCCTTTTTTTGCAGTTGTTGAAGGTATCTTTGTATTTCTTGATTTTTAAGTGACTCCATTTTTTCTTTCTCCTGCAACTGGTAATAATAATTCTGTAATTCTTGGTCTGTTTTGGCTTTCTCCCTCTCTTGCTCCTCCAACTGAAAATGACATCTTTGGATTTCAGCCTCCTTCCCTTTTAACTGATCAAAATGATGGTAATATTCTTGCATTTCTCGCTCCTTTTCTTGTAGCCGATGATGGTAATTTTGTATTTCTAGATCTTTTGCTGCCTTCTCACTCTCCAGCCTCTCCTGTAACTGAAAGCAGATTCTTTGTATTTCTAGTTCCTTTTCTGCCTTATTTTCTTGCAATTGATGGTGATATTTCTGATCTTTCTCTTGTAATTCTAGATAATGTTCTGTCTCCTTTTTTTCTATTTTTATTGTTAATTGACGGCTATGATCTTGCTCATTCCTTAATTGTTGTTTAATAGCTTGTATCTCTAGTTCCTCTTTTAGTGATGTTTTATATTCTGTAAGCTGGTGCCCTTCCCATACTTGTACTTCCTCTTTTTGCTTCTGATATTCCAGCCAGTGCGTTCTTCCTAGTTGGAGTTGCTGAAAATACATACTCTGGTACTGTCTATTATTTGATACTGGTATATCCTGTACTATAACTTTTTCTTTGTTAAAAACTATTAATATAAAGAAAAAATTTAATGCAATAAATCTGTGCAAGCCACATCAAGTATACCAGTACATACCTAAGCTTTTCATCACTGTTATATATGGATACTGAACCAGTTCATCGCTAGTAACTTCTCTTCTGGAAACAAATGCTCCTCCAACAGTAATAATCCAAAAACAACGAGGACTAAAAGTGAACACTGAGAGGGAATGAGCCCATCTCTTACTAAATGAGTGACCTACCTATTAATAGAAATAATCATTAATAACATTATATGGCTAGATGGCACAACTTGATTTAATGAATACCGGTAAATGTAAAAATTCATACTTTTGTCCAAGTTGTCCAAGTGCGTTGAGTAATATCAAACATCCAGCAGTCATCTAATTTATCATTATTATTATTCATTCCACCACATATCACCAGTAGAGGGTAGAGTAATTCAGCTACAATAATAGTACCTGCATGAATATATCTACCTATAGGCCATTTGTCAATTGCTTCAGGCTTTTTTATACACTGCCAAGACTAAGAGAGCAATTAAAAATAATTTTATTTTAACATACCACAGTGCTGAGTGATAAGTCAATATTTAATAAATACAAATCATTGCTAGCAGTGGCCTCAGTTGTATCATCTTGTACGATTCCACCAAACAAAATAGCTTTTGTGTTGCTGATCTTTTCAATTATAAAACCATCAGCAGATGGTATACACTGACCAGTGACAGATACATAGTCCCATTTTCCTAAATTATAATACATTTTATGTGATTATTATAGGTTGCTTAAAATAAACATTGCAACAGTTTAATCAACTGTCTAATCAAAAATGATAGATCTAAAATAATTCAAAGAATAATATTACCTAATGATAAATTATACATTGAGTGCTCATTAGTACGCCATCTTCCACTAGATCTTTCATGCATTGTCTCAATGTATTTATTATGCAGCAGTTGTACAGCTGGTTTAGATCCTATTCCTCCTATCATTAGCAAGCAATGTACTCCATCATGTTCAAACGATAACATCCCACCAAAGCCTCTCCTCATAACTGGTCTAGTTGCATCAGTTGGTTCTAATTCTCTCCATTGAAGACTAATGGTATCCAGTCGTGTAATACTGTTGTGAAAGCAGTTGTCATGATTGCAATAGCCACCAAAATAATACAGATGGTCATTTATTGCAGCACAAGAGTATCCCATGACTCCTAATGGAGAAGTACCAGTAGTTTCTCTAGCAAACCATTGACCAGATGAGGTAGTAAAGTGTTGTATAGTATTAGTAAATTTTCTCTTCTCTGGACTGTCATGTACTTTAGGCAAACCAGCTTGCTCACCAGCCCACACAAATAGTGCAGAATCACCTACTGTTGCAGCACTATGAAAAAATCTTGCTTTCAATCCAGGGTAATCTATAAATGATGTCAGCATTGGTTAACAAAATTATTGCTTGAAGCTTTTGCTACCTTTTGGATGCTGTTTCGCCATTGTTTAGCAATCACGCACATTCCTTTCTTGGGCGTTGCCCCATTTGTGACCAATTAAAATTGACCAGAAACTCCATACATTTCTAATGAGTTTAATAGCTCAGCCATTAATAGAACTAACCCTTTAAAAGGAAATTTGCTGTACTTTATAAAGGCTATTTCTGGCAGTAAAATGAACTCAGTGATTTGATCTAGATCTACATCTATGCATGCATGAGTACGTACTCTAGACTCTAAATCAGAGATTGCATGATACCAGCTATCAAATATGCAATTACTGTAATAGATCTAAAAGTTAAGTAGACTATTGTATTTCTGTGGTTTGTTTATAGATACAACCTGCTTGAACAGTAAGACGACTATTTACTGGCAATAAGAAGAATCATGAAGGATTGCTCTCTTCTTCTTTTAACTGTAATATTAGTTCTCCAAGGGGCAAGAGGTGTACTGATGGAGGTCTGTAATGGTGTAACAAATATAAATGAATTAGGTAAGTTTATGATCCTACATGTAATTGAGTTGCTCTTTGCATAAACATTATATTACTAATAACTTGCTTTGTTCACTTTGTTGCTTTGCTTTGTTTGAATTAGAATGCTTAAAAGATTTATTGCAGTAATAATACATTATTTGTTTCATTTACAGTTAGTCAATACAGCCTTGAAGTGAGTACCAGTTTCTCTAGTGATGGAAGTTCCTTATCACTCAACTGTACTATCAATAATGGAGCAGCTAACTTACAGCCTGGACAAGAGTTAGTATGGACTGAAGGAGGAATAGAGATACAAGAAGGGACTATAAGATATTCAGTACATCAGAGTACTACCAGCTCTCTATTGACAGTTAATATAACTCATGGACTACACTATGGTGAATATGATTGCCAGTGTCACAATAGGCACAATTATACACACAATTCCCTCAGTAAACTAATAGCTAGTGGTTCATTCACCCAACACTGCAGTGACAAATACTCAATAACAGCAGCACCACAAACAAGTGAGGTGTTATCATTGTAATATTATATGTCCTTTCATCTTTCTGTAGGTCCAGCTCCAATCATTACCACACATAACGTATCCAGTCCTGGTCAAACTGTTAGTATCACATGTAACCAGTCTTTGGCAGTACTGGTTAAAGAACACAGTAATGGCTCATTGATAGAGACCATTAACAATATTACTGTCTCATCTCCTAATGATCAAGGGAAGTTTGGATGCATTCTGAATGATACAATACTAGAGATACACTATGTCACTATTGAAGGTAGACTACACCTTAACTTATAATGTATAATTGTACTTTTTAGGCTATGAGCCTATTTGGTTTATATTTCCACCTTTACTTCAAACAACTGTTCTTCCTTTTTCTGTTGGAATAAATCCTCCAACCCTGTGTGCTGTATATTCTCCACTACCACTGGAAGCATTTCAAATACTCTTTAAAGCTGGCAATACTTGTGTCGGAAATTTTCGAAGCATCTACAGCACTAGTGGTCCCCTAGGGAAGGACCTGTGGAGAATTAATATAGTACCTTATAAAGGGAACGATGTCATTGTTAAATCTTTGGATCTTTATTGCAGAGCTCGTACTGTATGGGAGACTGTAACAAGTGAAAGATACAAAGTTGACTTTGAAACTGAAGGTTATACTCATGTGTATTACTATTGTTATTATTATGATTTATTATTTCTATTAGGTTCAGATTTGATTCCTTCAGTTTGTGTTACTACATCTCTAACTCCAGCCTCTCCAGCACTTGAAGGCTCTACAGTTACAATAACTTGTCACATACAATACGACATATCAGTTGATATTAATGTTAGCATATTGAGGAATACAAACGAGGTACTTACCAGTTCTTCATTGCAAGGACACAATCATTCATATGTCATTAAAAGTGTGAAAGAGAAAGATGAAGGAAACTACACATGCAAAGTGACAGTGATTGCTACCACTCTCAGTGACAGCATTGATTTACAAGTCATTCCTGCACAGACCTCAAGCAGTAGCAGCAGATCACAAACTCTTTCCCTAACTCCTTCACCCTCTCCTTTCATAAGCATTGACAATACACCAGTCCCTACACCTACAGACAATGTGGAGGCTACTCTATCTTCCAATGCAGTAACAGTTGCTGCAGTTGCTTCAGTTTTAAGTAGTCTGGCTCTATTACTATTTCTAGCTTTATCGTTGTCATTTGGTTGCATTGTAAGAAAAGGATGCAAGGAAAATGATACTGAAGAAAGTAGAGCAAGAGCTTCTTCACGAGACATGCAAAACAATCATTACATATTGAGTTGATATAATGATTTATTTAGAAGCGAAAGTTTCAAATCCACTGACTTTGATGCCAAATTTTAGGTCACTGTTGTCACACTTTTAGGTGAAAATTATGTTATTGAATGTTGCGTGGGTGTAGATTTGGGTGGTACAATTATGTGGTTGCATTGGCATCCTGACATCCTCTCACTAATAAGGAAAGATGGAGACTCTCTCGCCATTAGAATTAAAGGATTTTGTAGAGGAGAGAAAACCGTCCTTACTAGAGAAGGAGAAAAGAACCCTTCAATGCTGCTCTACTTCACCAAAATCAATCGCCTACAAGAACTTATTAGGCGTTTCTATATCCTACTGGATCATATTCGGGGCCTATTTGGCTGTAATTGGACTACAGAGCAGCCTAAACGAAGAAATAGGACTAGCATCTTTGAGTATACTCTATGCTACCTTTCTATTATCAGGACTCTACACGTCAGCCGTGTTACAAATATTTGGTACTAAGATAACTTTGGTAGCATGCTACATAGTAATGTTACTGTACACTCTATCAAATTATTATCCTAACTGGTACACACTGATCACAGGATCTGTTCTATTTGGATTAGCATTTGGACCAATTTGGGCATCTCTAAGCATACATGTAGCAACTGTAGCGAGGCAATATGCAAGCTCGATTAACAAAAATCCGGCTCACTTCATTTCTCTGTTCATAGGAATAAACACAATGTTCTATAAGCTTGGTTATGTACCAGCCAACATTGCTTCCTCTGCTATATTACTGCTAAGAAGCAGTAGAAGTGATGATGGTTATACTGATAACAGCACCAATGGGATTTGTAATAACACCGATGCAAGCGATATCAGTGATGAATCTCTTTATATCATTTTATCTGTTGATGTCTTTTTTGATCTACTGGCTATTTTGATTCTTATTGTCTTTGTCGATCATCTTGGTGCTACGGCTAGGCTTGATTCAGTCGGTAAAACTCTATCTTTATACGTCAAGAAACCTTTCCTGGCAACGTTGAAGATGTTCACAGAGTGGAAGATGCTGTTGGTGTTGCCAATGATGACCTTTGATGGCTTTGTGATATCATTTGCACTAGGATCATTTGCAAGAGTAAGTTTAATAAAATTAATATTATTATACACATAGAGGTAGCATTAGGTCATTTTGTTGGAGTAAAATAAAAGCAGGTTACCATATAATGGAAAAAAATATTAATATGTAATTAGAAAAAAATGAGACAAAAATATTATCATTAATTATTATTATTATTATTATTAGTTTTATGTGTCCGACTGTATTGGTGTTCAGTGGGTTGGACTAACACAAATGGCCTTTGGTGTATTCAGTGCTCTATCTGCCGTTATTAATGGTCGTCTTGTCAAGATTGTTCCTCAGTATGTGATGTTGTATAGCACAATATTACTTAATATAGGACTCATTGTGTTTTTCTTATTTTGGGAGAGAGTGCCCAGTTTACCGGCAGTTTTTCTGGGAATGATTGTATGGGGAACGTGTGATGGAATCTGGAACTCTGTACCTCCAAGTGAGTGTATGCACTGTACATTGTTTAGGTAGCAGTCGTCATGCATCATGTGTATTTAATCAAAAATAAAAAGGAGAGAATTCTCCATTTTATTACATTTCCTGATGCATATACATTTACTTTTGTTTTACAGCAAGTTTGAGCTGATTCCATCATTCCAATCAAAATTAGATTTTTTACAAATTTTTTAAGTTCCTCAATAATTGGGCGCTATAATAGTACAGGATGTTTTGTCAAAAATGGCCAGGAGAAAATACTTTATTTTTGTTATACTTTCATTAAGCATATTTACATTCACAAAGTATACTATAAATATTATTTATATTACTATCTGTAGGTCTAACTGGTTCATTGTTTCCTCATAAACAGGAAGCTGCCTTCAGTGCACTGAGAATGGGGCTTGGTGTTGGTTTTATCATTGGGTTTGTGTCAGCTTTGTTCCTAAACATTGAAGTTCAGTATTACATTGGGATAGCATTTTTATTACTCATCATAATCACTGCATCAATTCTGTTCTTCACTACTCAGACAAAAGAGCAACTGTGCCCATGTTGTGTATCAAAATAATTCAACTTATCATTACAGTTTTAATCAGGTTTTATCATAATTATTATTAAGTTATTTATTATAATTTTGCATTTGCATCAGTTTAATAAACACAATCATTATTATGCTAGCTAATCTACCATAGTTACAATCTCACTACAAATTAATTTTAAAAGTTAACTTATATAATCTAAGGAGCACTTTTGTCCTCAAGTTTATTGAGAATACATATCATCGATCACTTCAGAATACTTGGACATGACATAGAAACGTTTTAGCTTCAGGGTTGGTCCTATAAAAGAATGATCAATTATTATTATCACAAATTCAAATTAATATTTGCACATCATCGGCTTCTTACCAAGCTCTCCTCCTGGTATACTGAGATCATTCTTCAATATGACAAACTTCTGAACCTATTTAAATTCCATAAAATTATTACGATCCTCTCATCTATTCTGTTCTGCTTTCACATATTCACACTTCTTGCCTCAAAAAGCAAGCTTAAATGTGCTCCTTACAATTTCTCACTCTCTCTTTCACCTTTTGAGCACTGGAAATAGCTGATTCATTAGCTTTATCAATGGCTGATTGTATAGCAGAATAAACTGCACTGTCTTTTGTCTCCAGTACTTGAGATACAGTAGTAGCAGATGAGCCTAGACCAACAAACTGTTTCACAACATCATCAAGTAATTTATCAGTTGGTGCTCCTGTATTAGGATCAATATTAACCTGTAGGAAATGTTGATTGTGATACAGTGTAGAATATCATTGAATGAAGAATAGAATTGTTACATGCAAAACGGCTGCAATAAAATAACAATTTTTCCAAAAATAGCTCAAAGTTTTATTACGTTTTCTTATTATGATGAGCTATGCTGTCTAGAAAGTTAAAGTCAATTCTGGTTTTTTTTAAATATGCAATTTAAACAAAATAGTCGACTGTTCTGAGAAAATGATTTGTTTATGCTTACCTTTAGTGTTATCAGGCAAGAAATAAATTTTCTTTTATCTCCAATGAGAACGGCATTACTGATGAAAGGTGCATGCTTTTTAATGCGGTCTTCTATTGGTACAGGAGCAATGTTCTCCCCTCCAGCAGTTATGATCAATTCTATAAAGGAATTTATTTAACATGCAAAATCTAAAAGTTGTAATATTTATCAAAATCGTCACTATAAACATCATCATCTTGCTGGTATAGTTTAAACGTATGCAAATTTACATAATAAAACATAATACATGTAAGAATAGCATTGATACCTTTGATTCTACCAGTTATATAAAAGAAACCTTCCTATATTAGTAAGAAAAAATAATTATATTATAATTCTTTATTGCCCATTTTACCTCATCCGTTCTTCCAATGTCTCCACTGTGGACCCATCCATCATTATCAATTGTTTCTTTAGTTTTGTCCAATTTATTCAAGTAGCCTCTCATAATGTGACGCCCACGTATTAAAATCTAATTAGACAATATGCAATAAAAATCCCTAGCTAAAATAAAGTGAAACTGCCCACAAACATGCCATTCAGAATACATTGGAAATTATACTAATTGTGCTACAAAAAATAATAGCACAAATTTGAACCAAATTGACTTATTATGATATACTTACCGTATAGACGGAAAATTTTGCGGCAATTTAATTTTGCGTTTTTAATAAATTTTGAATGTTTTTTATTTTTGCGAATTAAAATTATGCAATTTGGCCACGTTGTCTTCACCATGCCTACACGCATACACATGGTACGATACACGATGCTAATGATACACGTCCACGCCCATCGAGCCCACGTGATTTTAATTTTACGGTTTTAAATTATGCGTTTATTTTTAAAACGCAAAGCGCAAAATTAAATTCCCCGCAAAATTTTCCGTCTATACGGTATACTTACTTCACCCTCTCCAGTCTTTGGATCTGGTTTGTCTATTTTAACTTCAGTCCCAATATAAGGTTTCCCAATGCTTCCAGTTCTCAATTCATTGAGTGTGGTTGTTGTTCCAGGACCAGTCAGCTCACTCATACCTACAGTAGTAGAGTACATCAAACAATTTATTAACAACAAGTACATGTAATATGCAAAGGCCCTTTGCCATATTTACATGTACAGTGTAGCCTTTAGATAATGGACACTTATGGAGGAAAGTGTCTCTGTTATACAGAGGTGTCCTTTATGTGGAAGTTATTTTATACAGTAAGGAATGTAATTGGTACACTAGGTGCTGTCTGTTAAATGGAGGTGCACGCTATAGAGAGTGTCTAATAAGAGAGGCTATATACTGTACTAATAATGCTACTATTCTCTTACCCCAAACTTCTAAAATTGGTATTCCCAATTTATTGAAGAACTGAAGTACTTCAATAGAGATCGGAGCAGCTGCAGTGATGTTAGCTTTTGACCTGCTAAGACCAATTCCAGCTAAAACCTATTGATAATCAAATAATGAAAATGTAAAAGTTACTATCATTTAGTTCATTATACATGTATTAGGGTCATTTCAAGGAGCAATGAATTCTGTTAGAAAATTGCTACATAGCATAGTTATCTTCTTAGTTCAATAATGATAGATCTCACGAAAAAAGCTTATGAATGATACAAAATTTTGAGTTTCTTGAAATTACAATTCAATTTACATGTATATAGTACAGTAATCTTTTTAAAGCTCTTGCAAAAATTATTTTAATCCTATTCATACTTCTATAAGTTTATTCTATGAACTGAAGTTGCTAGTTGCTATATTTTAAATTAAGAATTGATAGATTACTTTAGCTTGAACAGCTTTCATCATCTCAGGTGTGGGTGGGGGCCCACTGCCTGGAGGAGGTAGCATTCCTTTGATGGCTTCCATGAACTTCTCCCAAACTCTGTGGGAATAATAATAATAATAATAATAATAATATAGCATCAGTAATTTATTATCAGAAAATGTAATAAAAATTTAGGATGATTTCGGAGCCATTTTTTGGAAAAAGCCATGGGCTATAGCCTTGGGTATTCTTTGGAATTTTGGTGTTTCCTTAAAATGGTCATAACTTGAAAAATTGAAGTCGGAATCACCTCAAACTTTCTACGTAGCATAAGGACATCAATATGTATCAGAAAATGTAATAAAAATTTGAGGTGATTTCGGAGCCATTTTTTGGAAAAAACCATGGGCTATAGCCTTGGGTATTTTTCAGAATTTCGGCGTTTTCTTAAAATGGCCGTAACTTGAAAAATTAAAGGCGGAATCAGCTCAAACTTTCTACACAGCATAAGGACATCAATATGTATCAGAAAATGTAATAAAAATTTGGGGTGATTTCGGAGCCATTTTTTGAAAAAACCATGGGCTATAGCCTTAGGTATTTTTTGGAATTTTGGCGTTTTCTTAAAATAGCCATAACTTGAAAAATTGAAGGCAGAATCAGCTCAAACTTTCTACATAGCATAAGGACATTAATATGCATCAGAAAATGTAATAAAGATTTGGGGTGATTTTTAAGCTATTTTTTGGAAAAAACCATGGGCTATAGCCTTGGGTATTTTTTGGAATTTTGGCGTTTTCTTAAAATAGCTGTAACTTGAAAAATTGAAGGCGGAATCAGCTCAAACTTTCTACATAGCATAAGGACATCAATATGTATCAAAAAATGTAATAAAAATTTGGAGTGATTTTTTAGCCATTTTTTGAAAAAACCATGGGCTATAGCCTTGGGTATTTTTTGGAATTTTGGCATTTTCTTAAAATGGCCATAACTTGAAAGACTGAAGTCGGAATCGGCTCAAACTTTTTACACAGCATGAGGACATCAATATGTATCAGAAAATGTAATAAAAATTTGGGGTGATTTTGGAGCCATTTTTTGGAAAAATCCATGGGCTATAGCCTTGGGTATTTTTTGGAATTTCGATGTTTTTTTTAAATGGCTGTAACTTGAAAAATTGAAGGCAGAATCAGCTCAAACTTTCTACACAGCATAAGGACATCAATATGTATCAGAAAATGTAATAAAAATTTGGGGTGATTTCAGAGCCATTTTTTAGAAAAAACCATGGGCTATAATTTATCAGCCTATTATTTTTAAGCATACCTTGGCACTCCTAGGAATGCATGTGGCTGTACTTCACGCAAAGTAACAGCTAAGCTTCCCTATAAAATATAACAATAAGATAATTATGATTTGGGCAGAAGCAAACCTTTTGAAAAATACTACAAGAAGTAAAATACGTATGTACATGTACAGTATAACCTCTAGAAGGTGTCTCTGTTATACAGAGGTGTCCTTTATGTGGAGGTTATTTTATACAGTAAGGAATGTAATTGGTACACTACATGTACGTGCTGTCCGTTAAATGGAGGTGTATGCTATAGAGAGTGTCCGTTATATGAGTTTTGTTACTATTAAAAGTACAATCAAACCTTTAGTGCATCAGGTTGAGCAAAATAAGTAGTAGATCCTTTATTGATAGGAACAAAAAGATCAACACACAATCCAGCAATATGACTCAATGGAAGATATGATACTACACAGTCACCTGGTCCCAGAATATTCATAGTAGCATCAATGGTTTTAGCAGCAAACGTAACCTATTGATATCATGTGACTATATGGTCATGTGACTGGTGCTTACGTTGTCATGGGTCAGCATAACTCCCTTTGGTTCTCCTGTGGTACCAGACTAGAAAAAATATTATATTAAATAAGTTAAGTACATTATTTTATTAAGGACACCATTGGGCCCACACTACCTGTCCTTAATACATGTACAGTGTAGCCTCTTTATTAAGGACACCATTTGGCCCACACTACCTGTCCTTAATACATGTACAGTGTAGCCTCTTTATCAAGGACACCATTTTTGGCCCACACTACCTGTCCTTAATACATGTACAGTGTAGCTTCTTTATTAAGGACACCATTTGGCCCACACTACCTGTCCTTAATACATGTACAGTGTAGCCTCTTTATTAAGGACACCATTGGGCCCACACTACCTGTCCTTAATACATGTACAGTGTAGCCTCTTTATTAAGGACACCATTTGGCCCACACTACCTGTCCTTAATACATGTACAGTGTAGCCTCTTTATTAAGGACACCATTTGGCCCACACTACCTGTCCTTAATACATGTACAGTGTAGCCTCTTTATTAAGGACACTATTTGCCCACACTACCTGTCCTTAATACAGAGGTGTCCTCATTTCAGAGGTACTTTTGTATAAGTTTGTACCAATTGCATGGGACATTACAAAATGCATGTCCTCATGATAAGGTGTCCTTCTTATAAAAGTGTTTAAGCTTATGTCAGCTAATGCTATCATAAAAGCTACTCACTGTGTAGACAAGAAAAGCACAAGTTGATGGTCTTTGTGCTGATATCATATCCTCAATGACTTGATCATCAGTATCATCACCTAGCTTCATAAAACTATCCCACTAAGAAATAAATAAGAACATGAAAATTGAGTAGAAAGCAATACTAATAAGAGAAATAGAAAGATATTATGCACAGAATAAAAAAATTGATAGAAATAAAGAGATTGTATGACTATATTGTTCTTCATTCACCTCATAAACATTCTCAAGTGATGTGTCAGACAGTTTCCCCTTGTACTGTACAATAGCTTTCAAATGAGGCAAATCTTTACGAATCTGCAATGCAATAAAATATAAGTGAGTGAACATTTTTTATCAGTGTATGATGCTTGAAAATGCATTAATTCTCTCAAAACTGTCCCTCCCATCTGATGTTATCTAAATTGACTATCAAAGCAATATCACTACAGTAGAACCTCTTTGGACACATTTAAAGACAAAGAAGAAAGTGTCTCTGTTATACAGAGGTGTCCTTTATGTGGAGGTTATTTTATACAGTAAGGAATGTAATTGGTACACTAGGTGCTGTCCATTATGCTATTAGGAGAGGCTATAATGTAATCTCTCCTTTTCTCACTCCAACTCCTCTCTCTTTTGTACCTTTAGGAACTTCTGTAGTTGCATGTCATTCTCAACAATTACAACATTAGCTTTGGAATCATTAGCAATGTACTGGCAAGTCTCAGCATTGTTAGTAGCATAAATACCAGATACCAGACCACTGGAATAAGTAAATAAAGAGACACATGTAAATACAAATTAGAGTGCATATTACAGTATAGCCTCTATATAATGGACACTTGTGGACAAGAAAGCATCTCTGTTATACAGAGGTGTCCTTTATGTGGAGGTTATTTTATACAGTAAGGAATGTAATTGGTACACTAGGTGCTGTCCGTTAAATGGAGGTGTATGCTATAGAGAGTGTCCATTTAAGAGAGGCTATTGCATGCATAATCAATCTTACCCAGCAAATATAGTTCCCAGGACACCGATAAACCATTCAGGGGAATTGAATCCAATTATAGCAACACTGTGAAACTTCTCCAGACCCAACTATCATAGAATAGAGAGTAGTCAACATGTATTATAATTGCAATCCATGCATCAATGGATAAAGGATAGTAAAATAAGGACTATTTTCCCTGGACTAAAGAAAGCACATCTTGATTGGGAATTGAAGGAATGAAAATTATAAAAATAAAATCAATAAAATGCTGCAAACCATAAAAACTAATACATTTTAAAGGACTAGGAAGTGCAAATGTAAAGGCTTACCTTTAATAATGACTTTGCAGCTCTCAGGCTAAGAGTATAATACTCTTTAAAATTAATCTTCTTCCACTCGTCTCCTTCTTTACTGGCAAGAGCTGGGGTGTCTGGATAAGCATCTCTAGTCTTTCGAAACATCTGACCAATAGTGATTGGATCCTCTGCTGCTAGTCCTGAAGAACCAAGCTCAATGGGGAGCTCAACATTAGGTACTACTGAATACTGCCTAGCCATTGCTATTACTAGTGGGGAGAATAGGAAGCTGTAGCTACTGGAAGAGATTAATGGAAGCAAGGGATGAAGTTTATAAATGAGCCTTGAAGAACTGAATCTGTAGATATCCTTGATCACACCTTTTTGATCAGGCCACGTCTTATGTAAACTTGTGAGGATAGTTAAAAATTTATGGACTGGAACTGAATACATTATTACCCTTGCCACGCGTAGGCGTATGGGCAAGGGTATACGAGTCGATTTGTCAGTGTTTGTGTAAGCAACTAATCTGAACAAGAGGCTCCTGCTCTCAGGATAAAAACTCTAGAGACTCAAAACTAGTTTTTCTGCATTTATTAGACTGTTTTTTTATACCAATGATTTAATACATGTACTAGAACTGGAAAGTACGAATGTGGAAAATGGCATTTATTTCTTTTCTTTTTTTTCTGTCATAATGCGATCATATCTAACAAATGTTGCTTTATTTAATTTATGATAAAAATAGAATATTGACAGAGAGAGGGAAAAAGAGAAGAGAGCCGAAATAATAAATATAATAATTATTATTAATTATCGATATTACGTTAAAAAGCAAGTGAATATGAAATAAAAGAAAACTAAAAAAGAGAGAGAGAGGGGGAGAGGGAAGGAGAGAGATATTTTATACAAACATTCTCATTAACATAAAATTGATTTATTTGATTTTTCTCGTCTCGTATTATCATGATTCACGATATCGCCGTGACCACACCCACTTTCAGAAACTCGTCTGCGCTGAGTCACATGTTCAAGAGACGATAACGGAGATGAAATAAGGTGTGGTCTTTTCTTGCGCAATAGCCTAAGACTTTCCTCGTTTGCCATAGTGTGGTCTATGGGATGTAGTACCAACATTGGTCCATTGGTGAAACAATGGCTGGTAGTGGTGCTAGGTGGGGCTTGGGCAGGATCTACACTGCTACTGCTATTGCTACTGGAAATACCCAGTCTATTAATAATAAAGCATCCAATAATTAATTAGTAGGGTCATGAATATCATTAATAATTAATTAGCGGGGTCATGAATATTATTAAGAGCTATGAATATAGTTGTACATGTACATGTACATGTGTAATCAAAAGTGAGAAATTTTTAAGCGTCAAAATAAAAATAATATCAATGAATCAAAAATTAAATTAAAATGTATAATTATTTATTAATATAACTTTATTACCTTTTAAGACAAAGTGGCTTTCTGTTGTTGACCACGCCTTTAGCCACACCTCCTGCAAGAGTCTTTGCTTTTGATTTTTTCTCCTCCTCTTCTTCCTCGACCTGCTTCAATTGAAGTCGCGTGATATCGTGATCAGATCTGATACAGATTGATTTCAATCTCTCTCTCCTCTGAATCATGTACACTAGATTTCTAGCCTGAGAGAGAGAGAGAGGGGGGGAAGTTAATCAAAAGTAGTACAGTATAGTCTCTCTTAATGGACACTCTCTATAGCGTACACCTCCATTTAACAGACAGCACCTAGTGTACCAATTACATTCCTTACTGTATAAAATAACCTCCACATAAAGGACACCTCTGTATAACAGAGACACTTTCTTGCCCATAAGTGTCCATTATATAGAGACTACACTGTACATCTCTCTTTGTCTTACTTTTTCTAAGTTATGTCTCAAATGTACGATCCTAAGGAAATCATCATCATCAGTTAACAGTGGTACCTATACACAATGCACCATTAATAAAGACAGAATAATGAAGAATAGTAGTAACAGTAATATCAAAAATAATTTTAATGTACAATTGAGCCCATGTCTACTTGATAATATGTACATGTATGAGTACATGCACGTACTGCACATGTTCTTTTTAGAATAAACACTAAGGCTAGTTTACACAGCAATAAAAACGATGCAATCCGTATAGTTTTGTGCCTGTTTTATGCTTCTGTTTACACAGGAACGAATGAAAATGTGATGCAATCTTGATAGAACTCTATGGAAACGAAAACGGTGTTCAAAGTGGATACTTTTAAAACAATGCATTTTGCGTTGCTGTGTAAATGTAGCCTAAGTTTCAACTCATCAATAGAGTATCATGGAATGTATCATGGTATGTGTACTTGTCTGTCAATCTGGTTATTGGCCAGTTGGAGTCTTTGGTAAGAGAGATCCAAGTGTAATCCAAGAAGTAATGGCTGGTTGTGGTTACACTAAAGAACAGAGAGAGGACAAGAGAAGAAGAGAAATAAGAGAATAACAATTTATATTATAGTACATCTACAATGCAGCAGAAATTTACTATTTTTATTTTTGGAAATTTTTGTGATTATTTGCTTCCTTCAATGAAATGAACCAGCAGGAGTTTCTTACACTTTAATGCACATACATGTACACCTCTTTGCAAAATTTAAAGAAATTATAGTAAAAATTTAAAGAAATTATAGTAATAATTTCCGATGCTTTGATACAAGCGTACTGTACATGTACATGTACATGCACAACTATAGTACATGTACATGTAAATGTTACTTAATATACATGTAAAACACACTCTACTCTCTCCCCCCTCTCTTACTTTTCTTTTTAATTTCCAATAATTATAAATAAGTGTGGACGCTTGCGATGATATTTTTAGTTCTTTGCTGAGTTCCTCGTGTGACGTGTACTCGTAAAACTGACTCTCCACTCTCTGTAAAGGTGTCTGCTCCATTAGCGGCGAGAGAGGGGGAGGGACCAGTAAATTATTGGGCGTGACTAGTGTTGAATTCGACGGCGATAAAAGTTTCGAAGGAGTTTTACGTAAAGTTGTGTGCCTTGGACAATAAGACTAGAGAGAAAGAGAGAGAGAGGGAGGGAAATTAATTCAGAAATTAGAATGCACGCCTGAAATAAAGTACATGTAGCTGGAACATTAAACATGTACATGTACATGCCCTCCAGTCCTCCACATCAAATACAAGTATAGGCCTTTTCACACTGGCACAGTTTTCAGAGCGCTTTGATGCGCTTTGTTGATACAGCTGAAATAAAGGCCTTTTCACACTGGCCAAAGTAATGCACATTGATGCGCATTAATCGTGTTCACACTAGAGTGGTTTTCAATTAATGCGCATTGATGCGCATCACCCTCGCCTTCACCTCCAGAGGTGGATTGATGTGAAGTGATGCGCTTCAATCAATGTAAACCAATGGCAACAAGAACACAAATGATACATGATTCAGCTGC